GTCCTGGTAGTGTAACTGGCAATGTATACCTCAGGGTCAATTCTTTTCTTCCAGAATATTCTAATTTATTTAATAAATATTAATTTAATTATAATTATTAAATTTAATCAGAAATGGCACCTTAAGATTATTGATTATTTTTTAAATTTAATTACTGTTCTTTTTACATACCTGACATAAGCAATCTTTGAATGGCAATGTTTCAATTCCCAATACTTCCATTCTTTGCAGTTGTTCTTCATAAAAATATTCCATTTCATACATTGACAAATAACCATCTCCATCTAAGTCCATACAACGGAACCAGTATTCAATGCTAATAAAAAAATACATATGTTGTAATTATAACAATACATGTAATAATATAATTCTATGCATTTCAAAAGTTTACAAAATTAACTTATAATTTATGTAAAAGTTAATTTTGAATACAACGGTGACTTGTACTTCAAATTTAATTCATTCCAAGTAGTTGTAAGAAGTCCAAATCAATTTTTTCCATTTGAAATAATAAAAAGTGAATTAATCCATTCCCAGATCCTAAACAATACTTATTTCAATAAACATAATAATAGCAAATGTTCATAATTTAAGGTAAAAACAATTAAATGCCCTAATAAATTAAAATACAACAAAGATAAATTAAATACATAAATACTGTACAATAAAATAAAAATTGCATTTACTTGTTGCATGCCACTGCTTTGTCATCTCAAACATTGCCACGAGTGATAAGTTTTTTCACCTCAAATCCTTGATATTACAACCTTCCTCTTAGGGTTTGTTGCTTCACACATTTCTCAGATGCCACGGTTAATAGGTAAAGGTTATACTGAGTTGAATAGACAGTTTTTACATAGTTTTGATAGCTGCTACTTAATTTTAAGTTTTCAAATTTAACACATTACTGTTAAGGGGCTGTCCATAAATTATGCACTTTTCTTGAAATTTTTACTCATCCTCCCTCTCTGGTCCCAGTTTGTCAAAGTTTCTGTAAACCCCCTCCCCTCTTCAGACATCCAACAAATAGATTTTGTTTTTTAATTCTATCAATTATTATAAATTTCAAACTGAGAAATATAACTGCATTATATTATCATTTAAGAGAGCTTATTCTTTATAACTTTTCTCAAAAATTTACGTACAAAAATATTCAATAATGAATTTAACACAGATCTAGTAATAGATAATTTTCTAAAATTTATTAATTAATTTATTTTTATTAATTTTAAATGTTTCAGATTAAAAAATAAAGAAATCTTCTGAAATGGTAATTCTTTTTCTTTTAGTTTATGTTAAAAGTTTTATATCAATGAATGTATTTTGCTGTAATTATAAAATAAGTAAATTTAGATATACCTCCTAGGATGTCTCTTGTCTTCTTCTGACAATAAAAACCATACAAAGTCTGTATAGCTCATTTTTCCTTTCTTATGTACAGCTTCCCTAAAAAAACTTATAAAAATTAATTGTATCATAAATAAAATGTCATTAATTTAACCCTGATAATCTATTTTAAATTGTGTACTTTTAATTTTTAATATTAAGATTTAAAGTAATTCTAAATCCAAATGCAATAGTGTAATAATAATAAATTATATTAATGAGTTAACAATTTTTAATTCTAAGAAATAACAGTTGAAAATCATAATAAATCCTTCATGTTATCATTGAAAAAGAAATTATTTAGTATTAGTATTTAGTTATTAGTTTAGTATTTAATATTAATTTTATTTATTTAAGATAAAAAAAAACTTTACAATTACAGTAGGATTACATTGATTTGGATAATAAGAATGATGAATGTTATTTCTAAAGTAAGGTTAACTTACATAATACACCAAAACTAGTAGTAAAGTCAAATATTTACACTGTAGGACAAATGGTTTCAGTGGTCTTAAGCCCCCATCTTCAGGATCTAAACTCTTACAAATGTAAAACAATGCTTGTAAAGAATATTTTAATTTCTACAAACAGAACACCACGTATGTTGGATTCTTTAAAAGTCAGCATTTTATAAGTCCTGATTAGTTTGTTTGTGCTGATGATGTGTCTGATCTTGCAGTATAATTTTTTGAATTCTGAATAAGGCCCTCCATGTCTAGGGCAAGGAATTGCTGTCTTAATAGTTGATACTGATTTTTCCCTTGCTGCTTGTAAATTTGAATTGTGTATAAGTTTTGCCTGGTCTAGATGTGTATGGATGTCTGTCTCTAAGAATACAGTAGATAAAGCAGTAGTAGTTTGTTGCTTTTTTATTAATGTTAAGTACTCTTGGAGGCATTTCCCCTAAAATTTTGATTGTCATCATTGTCATAATAATAATAATAATAATTCAAGTATACGTATAAACATTATTCTTGTATAATTTTAATTTTAACCAACTTATTTTAAAGTATATATGTATTTGAGATATATATATATATATTTTTTGTCCAATAGCTAACAGTTGTTCATCAAACAAATGTTAGCTATTGGACAAGATGCCCTTTGCACCCACATCTCTTAGATGCATGAATGTGACACCAGGATTGTTTATGTTATCAAGCAATGTTGTAAAGGAATTTTTTCTATTTTTCCAATTTTAGGGACACCTTTTAAAATTTTAGCAATACCAATTAAAAAGAATTAAGAGAAACAAATTAGAGTAAAAAAATTATCAATTAATTGTTATTAATCTCACGACATTTGAAGGAAAAGACAAAGAGGATGTAATGAAAGTGTTAGCAGAGCATGGTTGAACAAAGGGAACAATAAAACACCCACACACCGATATCCAAACAACAAAAGAGAGTTTTATTCTACAAAATGGAGTTCAAGTACAGAGGGATTACAAGGTACCATCTAGTGGTCAATACAATATTTAAATCTAGTTTTAACAGGATGACTGCCATTTCCTCCTTTTTCAATAGTATTATGGACAAAGTAACAACCGTTACCTATCACATGGATATATAATTCATATTAGACAAGAGAGAAGGAAGACTAAAAATAATCAAGCAAGCTTATTTCTCATTATTTCAACTTCCTCCAGAATAAAATCATGATTGGTCAGAAAAAAATTAAACAAAAGGGAATGATGAAAAATACAGAGGAAGAGGAAGAGAAAGCAGAAAGTGAGAGAAAAAAAGAGAGAGGAGAGGAGAGTAAACACAACATCCAGAGAGAGTCAAATCCTAGAAAAGGGAGTCAACTCAATAGTAGAGAACTGCACCAGAGGAATATGTCAAATCTGGGGGAAATAGAACAGCAAAAAAAGAGATATAAGGAAGGAAAAAAATAAGGTCCAAAAGGAAGAAAAGGAACCAAAGAAAAGACAATAGCTCTTTTCCTAGTATGGTGTGAGTCGTGAAGTTCGGATATCCCCCTGCTAGATACCCCAGGTTAAATAGTATAGAAATAGGTTAACTTCTGAGATAGACTTTGTCTTTATTATCAATTTTAAACTTAATTTTAGTGATATGTTTGGTTTTGTATTAAATTTTCCTTTTTATTCTTAAGTTGGTTTAATTGATTTTTCAATTAATTAAAGTTGGTTTAATTGATTTACCCTCCTGAGAGGCTCATTCCTAGATTTCGGAGTGACTCTTACCCTCGTGCCTTACATATCTCCATTTTCTATAAAGTCTAAATCAGAGGTGTATTTGATAATACACACCTGGTAGCAGGATCCCCACCTAAAACTTTCAGATCTTAATTTTGACAGCCTCCAAGCCCTAACAATACAAAGGTCTTGTAATAGCTCCTATGTACTGTAGCCACTTTTGTATTCTGTTATCTGTTATTGGTACAAAGTATACTCCTGAAAGATTGCTTCTGCATTCTATTTATAGAAATGAAAACATTCTTTACAAGCATTGTTCTACTTTTGAAAGACTAGAACCTAAATATGGGGACTTAAGAACACTGAAAATATTTGTTCTACAGTGTAAATATTTGACTTTACTTGAATTTGCTTGAGTTTGGGTGTATTACATAAGTTTAGTGTTTCTCCAGTTTAGTAATAGTATTTAACCTAAGATAAGGTTTTTTTTAAGTAAGAGAAAAGCTTAATGACTAAAGAAATTATTTTTTTATTAGATGTAAAAAAAAAACTATNATACATTAAATTATCCTTTATAAAATAATTGTCCCTTACTCTTATTCTATTATTATCTGAATTTCGAAACTTAATCATATTCAGTATCTGTTTTCTTCTAATTCTTGATCTTAAGCATAAGTCCAATGTTATAATTATTTTTTTCATTTCATCTACCATTTTCGGTCTCACTGACCAGAATTTTTTCAGGATTAAATTTCTAGCTTTTATCGTTTCCATCATAACTTTTATTGTTCGATTATTATTAATATTTTTTAATTGTACAAGTCTCTCAATTTCTATATTATTAAGATCTAGCTGTTCGTTAATATATTTTTTAATTTCTTCTATGAAATTTAACGTTTTAAATGGGTAATTGAAAATGACTATATTTTTTCTAGTAGTCTCGTTTAACATTTTATCAATTTAAAATTCGAACATACCTTTTAAGTTATTATTAGTATTGACCCTTTCTTCTAATATGTGAATCTTTTGACCAATTTTTCCCATCTCTTCTTTCACCTTAAAGTTATCTTCTTTCATAGTGTTGATTTCTGATTTTATTGTTTGAATTTCCAAATTTAAAAGAGCAAACTTCTCTTGAATTAGATTGTAAATCGATTTTAGTGTATAATTGGAATCGTCGCCACGTTGTATTTTTGGCTCAATTTCTGGCTCGAAAAAATGTCTAATCGTCGAACTTCTCTTGGATCCATAAGTATCTCTCACATCTTCATCCGATAGATATTCTTATTTTTTTCTTCTTCCATTATTTCCACGAGTTGGTTATTTTCCTTCACATCCTTGTTAATTTCCTTACGAGGTCTTTCTCGCCTTTTCTTTGCATAGCTGCTTGGTTTGACTGAAGAGGAGAACGAGGGAAAGGTTCGGGATTTAATTCGATTCCCGCAATCAGTAATAAAGTCCTTATTACTTTTACAGTTAATAATAATTCAAGACTTTTCAACTTGATTTGATACTTGTTCTTATTGCTTAATTCTTCCTTTATGAACTCATTCAAACCATTTTCGTTTACTTGATATACATTACTAATGAGAAGATTGCTCTTCTTCAATTAATGTGTATAAATAAATTACATTTTATGAACTCATTCAAACCATTTTCGTTTACTTGATATACATTACTAATGAGAAGATTGCTCTTCTTCAATTATTGTATATAAATAAATTACATTTTATCCATCCAAAAATATATGTTATGAAACTGCTTGTTTTGGAATCTTAAATTCTCCATAATCATTACTTATTTGATAATTTATTTGAAAAAATCTTGATGACAATAATCATCATTATACATATCAGATATTATTTATGTACTTTATATAGTATATAATACAGTAAATTCTACCTAAAATAGAATGTGATGGTTTCCATTTTATAAAGGGTCATGGTTTAATTAATGCAAAAATAAAGAAAACAGTTAAACTGTTACAAGTCATGTTGATGGAGAAACAGTTCTTAATATGCATTTCATGTTTCAAAGATATTAAAAATTAAAAGTGCAGGTAACCCCTGTTTAACACAGGAGTTTGGTTCCAAAAAATTGCCGTGTTATACAAAACAAAGAACAAGTACGAAAAGGGGGGTTAGGTTCCAAAAATTAAAAAACATGCTATTATATTTTCATAATTAAGATAAATATTGTTATTAAAATTTTCTTAATCAATACATATCAATATAAATTAAACAATGTTTTCTTCATTATCACTAAGCACCATTAGCTTTTAGAGGGCGTTTTCTTTTTGGCAAGTTATCCTTATCCTCTGAGCATTTTTCTGCATTATCTTCAGATCCATGCTCTACCTTTTGCAAAAAATACATTATTTTAGATTGCTTGCTTTTAGTTAAAAGACCTTTATAAATTTCCTTATATGGTGCTAAGCACTTATGAAGAATAAAGCAAGTATGGAATAAGGGAAAACATCTGGCAACACTGAAACAAGTTTCGAGAAGGATTATGTGTATCAACAGAAGGCAGAAAAGAAAATTTACATACTTAAGTACTAATAGTTTACAAAAATTATTACTTTTGTGAACTATTAGTACTTAAGTATGTGAAAATTTATTAATTTCATGTTGTATGAAGGTTTTATCCAATTCTCGAACCATACTATAAAAGCACCGTGTTATACGGGGATGTTCCCAATTCTCGAACTGTGTTAGAGTGAATCCATGCTATAGAAGTGCTGTGTTATATGGGAGTTGCCTGTATATACAGGGTGTCCCACTCAGGAGTACAACTTTAAAAATGCAAATGACTCGCAAATGCATGTATCATCATGCAATAAGGTTCAAAATATTCCTTATTTAATGAAGAATTGATTCGTGCAGCCCAGTGCCTGGCGTTCTCAAATCATTGGTCCAATTTTCTTTGATGAGACTGTGAACACCAACCAATACTTGTCCATATTTGGCAAATTTGTGGAAGAACTTGACAACTACGAACTTCAAGAAGGTTACTTCCAACAGAACAGGGCAACGTGCCATACCTCTGTGAGAATCTGGGCTCTTTTGGGAGTTTTTAGAGAAATTAAATATTAAAATATTATTTTTTCAAATTTGTTGAAGTTAGACCTTTCTGACCCCACAATGTACTATCAAAGTCACCTCGAAGGTGACTTTGAACATCTTTGGAAGGACTNTTATTTTTTCAAATTTGTTGAAGTTAGACCTTTCTGACCCCACAATGTACTATCAAAGTCACCTCGAAGGTGACTTTGAACATCTTTGGAAGGACTCCCCTCACACCAGGGGATCGCTCTAGTTCTACAGTGGCTAAAAGGTAAAAATAAATAGCCAATTAACATCGACAACCGCCTGTTACTGTCTAGACTGTTTGGTTACTGTCTAGAGAGTAACCAAAAGGGTCACTGATGAGTCCCCTCTAAGTCCGGTCGAACTGATGAGAACGTCAATCTAAATGACCAAATAAGGCAATGATTATTACTAAGGTAGTGAGTCACCTCATGTCAATAAATCAAGGAGTTTGACAAATTTATGGTGAGATGTCAAATGATGGAAAGAAAGGGGTAATAAATCTAGAAAAACGTTCATTTTTGACAAGTAACATAAACATAACTGGACGCAAGTCGAGCTGGCGATTGCATAAAAATTTTCTTCTCCCATGATTCCCCCTCCGAGGCAAGTATAAAAAAGGGGTCAAACTTGTACCTCCAGGCGGACACATCAAAGGAGACCTTAGAAACGGACAGCTGGCCAGAACCCACAAGAGGACAGCCAAGCGGACACCAGGTCCATACTGCCATAACATTCATCGCTCCATACCGCCATCCAAGAGAGACAACACTTAGGAATTGCCGATCCGGGGACGTTTCACCAACCTCCCATACGACGAGATCGGAACCCATTAGGTAAACCTTAGACAGAATTTTGACTCTCTCTCTGAGACGTCCCTCTTAGGGTGCAACTATGCAGATGCGAATTTAGAGTGAGAGAGAGGTTGTGAGCAATTTAGCTTTCATAAAGGACAACCATGCACAAACAAGAAGTGAAAAATAACGCTAGCAAGAGCGAATTTCTGGTTCTTGCACATATCTGACAGGTTTTGATATTTATCATGTCTTGCCTCTTCTCACCAAATATTCTCACTCGCTTGGAAAATTTGCTCGCTCATGTCTGCATAGTCGCACCCTTAGAGAGGTCTCTCTTGTTCGTTAGTTTAGGGTAGAATATAGATCTAGAATAGATTCCTTTTCTTTATACATGTGTCATTTCTGCTTTTGCCTTCGATTATGTATAATCTCTTAGTTGTTTATTAAATGTGTTCTTGTTGTTCAACCTGTGCATTTATTCGGACACCTCGTCACAACCTCACTACCCCTCCCACTCATTTAACTGAAGCCATCCCTGATAACGAATCCGATAAGTGGGGAGAAGCTTGCCGCTTTACCCCCTCAGTTCACACCTCTCATGCCAGTATGGAATAGATCCAATCATTTTTTGGAGACAGGGTGATCTCGAAAGGTTTGTAGCCACCTCGATCGCCCGATTTAACTCCCCCAGATTTTTTCTATGGGGATATTTAAAGAGTAAAGTGTATGCAAGCAAATCCAGCACCATCGAACAACTGAAAGCAAACATCGAGAATGAAATTGCTGCCATCGACAATGACCTGTTGCAGAGGACATTCTCAAATATGGAGCGTCATGTTTCCTTGTGCACAAATGTTGGGAGAGGACATTTTCAGCACCTTTTGTAATGTGGACTTGTTTTCCACTAAATACGAGTATGTTCAGTTCTTACAGCTCGCCTTCACGAGTAATTTGCATTTTTAAAGATTGTACTCCCGAATGGGGCACCCTGTACAAAACACAGAAAAAATCCAAACTCTTGAAATGTGATTATGATATAGAATTTAATTGTTTTTATACTGAAAAATTCTGCTTTTATCAGCTTCTATCTAATCTATTGTTGGTACTGAAACTATTCAAATAAATTAATGTGAGAATAGCAAAAAACATTATAATATGCAGAGATATTGAAGGAATTTCATTTGTAGCCTTTCTGAATTAAATAAAATTTATAAATAAATAATGTTTCATTATATTGATATAAGTACTCCATATCCATTCAAAAAACATTAAATTGAACATAAAAATTAAAATTGATATATTACCTCCTTCATTATGTCTCTGAAGATCATATTTATCTATAAAGAGATCGTGGTCTTTATCCAGTTCCCAAAATTTACAATAAATAACATAGAAATGTTCATATGAAAAATAATCTGTGATCTGATTAATATCTTCTTCTTTCTCTAATAATGCCAAAACCTAAAAGATTAAATATCAAAAATAAATACAAATTTGGTATTCTAATAACATAATTATATATTAATATGTAATATAATATATGAACACACCTGAATTCTACTAGCTGAGTTTTTTTCTCTTTATTCCAACGTTTTCAGCCTATTTGGATAGGCCATCCTCAGGTTTTCTGTTATCGTTCCAAAATGGAACCATTCGTTTGAATTTTACTTTGATTTGAATTAAGTTAACAACTTTTTGTATATTACATAAATAAACAAAATAAATAAATAAAATAAAATAAAATATGTCCCTATACGTGCTACAAAAATTAAACAACATATTTTTACATGCATCTAAATCATACTATAATAACTTCTTATAATCTCCAGTTCCTGTTTTATGGATTATTGAAACCCATACATTTTTCTATTTTGTATTTCCATGCTGTTGGTAATGTATTTGCATCCTTTTCATTTAAACGTCGGTTCCTCATTTTACTTTTGTATATCTCTATTTTTTCCATTTCCATCGCTATAGACGGTGAGTGCACCGTTCTTATGATCTTCGCTTCATCCCACTTAACTATTGCTCCGTCCGCCTTCACCATGCTTGCCAATATCGTGCTATTAAGTCCTTTATTAACACTGTATTTGTGCTCTTTTAAATGCACTGCAAGGTTTCTTCTGGTTACCCCTACATATTCTTTATCAACTCCTATTTGTTGGTTTTCATATGGGATAGTGTACACCCCCACTTGCTCTTCCATTTTTATTTTGTCCTTATTGTTCCTTAATAATCTATATATGTTGGGTGCTAGTTTTTTAAATTATCTTTGTGTTTTTGTATTTTCCTAGCTCATCCACTACTTTTTTGTTTGTTCATTGTATGTGAATTTGTTAAATGCAGTTGTGTTGTTATGTGTTGTAGTTGTAGTTTTTTGTTTCCCATAACTTCTGATAAGGCCTCTGATTGTGGACGTTTTGTATCCTAAACTCCTTGCTACCTTTTGTATTCTATCCATTTCCTTGTCACGGTCTTGCACATTGGTGCAGTACAAGAAGGTCCTCTTGATAAGTGCCTTAAATGCAGACAGTTTATATCTATATGGGTCCTTCAACCATGTAGATATGTATAACGGAGCATGTAAAGGTTTCCAATACACTGCCGTTTGTATACTTCCTAGTTTAAACTCCGTGTCAATGTCCAAAAAAATGGAGGTTTTTTTTGGCTTTTTTGTTTCAATTTTAGTTTCAAACCATGGTCATTGTTGTTGATTGCAGTTAGGAAATCATTAATCCGTTGGTCATCTTTCCAAATTATCAATACATCACCCAGGTACCATTTGTATAATATTATGCTTTTGGAAAATAATCCTTTTTTTTAAATTTCAGCCCTTTTTTAAATTCAATGGAATAGTATACAAACAAAAGAAAGGGGTCCCAATGGGAAGTCCTATATCAGGACTACTATGTGAACTAGTAATAAGAAAATTGGAAAAGAACATCCTCAAAGATTTTTCCGAAAGCATCAAGTAGCAAGGAGTTTAGGATACAAAATGTCCACAATCAGAGGCCTTATCAGAAGTTATGGGAAACAAAAAACTACAACTACAACACATAACAACACAACTGCATTCAACAAATTCACATACAATGAACAAACAAAAAAAGTAGTGGATGAGCTAGGAAAATACAAAAACACAAAGATAATTTAAAAAACTAGCACCCAACATATATAGATTATTAAGGAACAATAAGGACAAAATAAAAATGGAAGAGCAAGTGGGGGTGTACACTATCCCATATGAAAACCAACAAATAGGAGTTGATAAAGAATATGTAGGGGTAACCAGAAGAAACCTTGCAGTGCATTTAAAAGAGCACAAATACAGTGTTAATAAAGGACTTAATAGCACGATATTGGCAAGCATGGTGAAGGCGGACGGAGCAATAGTTAAGTGGGATGAAGTGAAGATCATAAGAACGGTGCACTCACCGTCTATAGCGATGGAAATGGAAAAAATAGAGATATACAAAAGTAAAATGAGGAACCGACGTTTAAATGAAAAGGATGCAAATACATTACCAACAGCATGGAAATACAAAATAGAAAAATGTATGGGTTTCAATAATCCATAAAACAGGAACTGGAGATTATAAGAAGTTATTATAGTATGATTTAGATGCATGTAAAAATATGTTGTTTAATTTTTGTAGCACGTATAGGGACATATTTTATTTTATTTTATTTATTTATTTTGTTTATTTATGTAATATACAAAAAGTTGTTAACTTAATTCAAATCAAAGTAAAATTCAAACGAATGGTTCCATTTTGGAACGATAACAGAAAACCTGAGGATGGCCTATCCAAATAGGCTGAAAACGTTGGAATAAAGAGAAAAAAACTCAGCAAGTAGAATTCAGGTGTGTTCATATATTATAATTAATAGTGCTGAGAAGGAGAGAGATATATTAATATGTATAAAAAATATTTGGCTTTAATGAATGATGATTAATATTATAAAGAGAATTATTATAAAAATTATTTTAAAAGCTTTCAATAACCATTTTCTAATTAGAATTTCATTCATTTTTATATCTGAAATCAAGACTGTTAATTAATTTTATTAATTAATGTAATTAATATCTCAAGTTTTCCTAATGATTAAAATTTTTCAATTGTAAAATTAAATTTAATTAAGTTTCAAGTAGAAGTGAGACAAAAATATAGCTCAAAATGGCTTAAAGTCTCAAATAGATTACCGTGTCTTTACATAAATTATTAATAGTATCAGGGTGTCAAATCTATACCTGAAAATTTGATTTTTCAGGTTTTTCTCATATGGCCAATTATCCTTGTATGCATTATTATACATACAATGCTAACTAAATCATTTCATAATGTAGGAAATTATGAATAAATCCATTACTATAATTTATGTTATTTAACTATGATACAAAGTGTTTTTATCAATTTAAAAATTTCTCCCTTGTCAAATTTTGATATATCAAAAATAATTAACATAAATATAAGGAATGTCTAACATTATACAGAATTTATATATTGCACATAAAAATTGATAGAAATAAAAAATTAAATTTACTTGTAAAAAGTTGCTTTTCCTTAATTCTGCAATATTAATTTTTCCACTCCATGATCTATTTACACAATAATATATCCTTGAAATGACCTAAAATAGATAATTTTAAGTAATTAGTAAAGAAAATGAACATATATTACTATTTTATGTTTTGAAAATCTAACAATGGCTTTTTCATGATGTTTTCTATCATATAAGAAATTTACAAAATCAATAAAAAAAAGGAAGACAACATAATGAATAAAAAACATTTTTAAAGCAAAACTTTTTAAATAATTAAAAAAAGCAAGCATAAGACATTAACTTCTTTATAATATTCTTTTACATCAGTAATGACAAGAAATTTTTTTTTTGTTTTTGCTAATTCTCATTGTTAAAAGGCAAAATGTTAAAAGTTTTTCTGGTTAATTTTATATATATTTCATTTTTAAGAAATATTCATCTCATAAATTAGGATGTATAAATTTTGATAAAATTTCTAGTCATCAGAAGAACTATTAACAGTTGTGTTTAAGAATGAGGATAATCTGAAATAAAAGTTCAATAACATTAAAAATTGTTTTCTGTTAACATAAAAAGTATGTAAATAACACTTAATTCTTTCATTTTAAAAATATTCATATTTCAAAATACATGTTGGAAATGCATTTAAACAGATGATGTAAAGATAATTAATAAATGAATTTATAATCTTATTAATTATAATTTTAATTATCACATTTTAAATGCATATTTTAAGTTATGTCAAATCTTTACATAGAATACATTTTTAACTTTAATGAATAAATCAAAGTAAATATGAAAAAACAGAATGATAAAGTGTATGAAAATTTGTAGCAAATATAAGTATTAAGTTGTAGATATAAGTCTATTATACAGAATGGTTTAAAAAATAATAAAATATAATCAAAAGCCAACATAGAATATTTTCTCTTTGGAAATAAACATAAAGTAATTTATTATGAAAAATTATATAAATACTATGATTATAAGATTAAATAACCATTTTCTGATATAAAAATGTATAAAAAGCAGGGCTGTGGAGTCAGGAGGAATTACTGGCCTGAGGAGTCGGAGTCGGATAAAAATGTGTCAACTCCGACTCCCGCATTTTAAATTTACTTTAGTTTTTTTACTTAAATGAAAGAAAATTTATTATATATTTATTAATTTTTTAAAATTTTTTCGTATTTTGTTATAATTCATTTATTTTAAATACAAAATGCATCAATATTATTTATTAAATATGTAGTATTCTTTGTAGTATTTGTGTTTAGTAGTTACATTATTTTGATCCAATTGAATTTGAATATTTTTGAATCATTCTTTTATTATCCCTGCTCTAAACAAGTACTCTATGTTTTTGAATGAGCCAGACTAATTGATCAAAGTACAGTAGAGCGTCGATTTTCCGAAAGTCAATTATCCGAAAGAATTCCAGTCGGCAAATTTAAATTTTCGCCAGTGCTGTGGCGCTTCAGTCTTTGGCTATGTCTTGGGCTACTCAAATATTTTACGTTTTTGATACTAAATTAACATCTGAAGTATAATTTTTTATTGTTTTTATATTTTTTGATATATTTATTTTGTTTGTACAAAATAAAAAAATANTTCATCTCATAAATTAGGATGTATAAATTTTGATAAAATTTCTAGTCATCAGAAGAACTATTAACAGTTGTGTTTAAGAATGAGGATAATCTGAAATAAAAGTTCAATAACATTAAAAATTGTTTTCTGTTAACATAAAAAGTATGTAAATAACACTTAATTCTTTCATTTTAAAAATATTCATATTTCAAAATACATGTTGGAAATGCATTTAAACAGATGATGTAAAGATAATTAATAAATGAATTTATAATCTTATTAATTATAATTTTAATTATCACATTTTAAATGCATATTTTAAGTTATGTCAAATCTTTACATAGAATACATTTTTAACTTTAATGAATAAATCAAAGTAAATATGAAAAAACAGAATGATAAAGTGTATGAAAATTTGTAGCAAATATAAGTATTAAGTTGTAGATATAAGTCTATTATACAGAATGGTTTAAAAAATAATAAAATATAATCAAAAGCCAACATAGAATATTTTCTCTTTGGAAATAAACATAAAGTAATTTATTATGAAAAATTATATAAATACTATGATTATAAGATTAAATAACCATTTTCTGATATAAAAATGTATAAAAAGCAGGGCTGTGGAGTCAGGAGGAATTACTGGCCTGAGGAGTCGGAGTCGGATAAAAATGTGTCAACTCCGACTCCCGCATTTTAAATTTACTTTAGTTTTTTTACTTAAATGAAAGAAAATTTATTATATATTTATTAATTTTTTAAAATTTTTTCGTATTTTGTTATAATTCATTTATTTTAAATACAAAATGCATCAATATTATTTATTAAATATGTAGTATTCTTTGTAGTATTTGTGTTTAGTAGTTACATTATTTTGATCCAATTGAATTTGAATATTTTTGAATCATTCTTTTATTATCCCTGCTCTAAACAAGTACTCTATGTTTTTGAATGAGCCAGACTAATTGATCAAAGTACAGTAGAGCGTCGATTTTCCGAAAGTCAATTATCCGAAAGAATTCCAGTCGGCAAATTTAAATTTTCGCCAGTGCTGTGGCGCTTCAGTCTTTGGCTATGTCTTGGGCTACTCAAATATTTTACGTTTTTGATACTAAATTAACATCTGAAGTATAATTTTTTATTGTTTTTATATTTTTTGATATATTTATTTTGTTTGTACAAAATAAAAAATAATTTTTAATGGTACAATAGTCTTTGTTAGGCTTAACATTGACGAAAATTCAACGCAAAGCGACACGCAACAAATAAAAATTTTAACATCGGATACGTTAAACTATTTTTTCGTACATAAATTGGTTATCCGAAATATCAGTTATACGAACAACCCTAGTCCCCAATTGATTCGGAAAATCGACGCTCTACTGTACATATTTTTCTTTTCTGAATAAGGAGCTGAAGTAGCTAGCTAGATTGCACACTTTTTAGTTGGACTAACTTTTCTGGAAGGGTGAAATTGAAGTGCAAATGCTGCTGAATATATGTAGATGTAGAGTTTTATTGCCCCCTTTCTCCTCTTATTAAATATTTGTTAAAAATTAATTTTTTTATACAAATAAATATTAATGTAAGTTAAATATTAAAATATTAACTACAAAAGTATTTGGGTAAACACCCCAGGCTCCTTTCAGAGTTCAGAGTAGAGTACCCCAACTACCTACAAGTCTGGTTTATCTTATGTATGCATGATTTTGGCACCAAATACTCTGTGCCAAATTGCAACTCCTGATAGATACTCCTGCATACCTCTAAGGTGTGCGTGCAGCTGTTGACAGCTGCATGAGTTTAGAGACGAGACAGTCTCGTCAAAAATCAAAACAAAATATTTTTGACAGAGCATATGACTTAACTTAGCATTTCAGAAATCTGTAAACAGAATGAAAGTATATTATAAGGATGTTTAATTTTTACTTGGAAATATATTTAGATTTTTGTATTTTTCTTCTAATAACTATTTTACACTTTTATCTATTTGTAAATTTAAATGTTTGGGATAATAAACTTGTATATGTGAAAAATTTAATAAATGACAGTAGAGCATCGATTATCCAAATATTGATAAACTGAAACGTCAATTAACTGAAAGCTTTCCAGTCGGCAAATTTACATTTCTGCTAGTGCTGTGGCGAAAAACTACTTACAACTCACAATCCAGTACCTAAGCAGGACAACTATTTATTTCAAAGATTAGGACTATAAAAATCAAGAGTGTGATAAGAATTGAGGAAATCTATCTTTGTGGTTTTTAACAGGGCTGCAATCTTTGGCTATGTCTTGGGCTACTCCAATATTATTTTTGTTGGGTGCGTGTTTTAGCTGGCAGCACTGGTGCGATCATGAGAGGGTACTTAAGGACATGCCAGGATTTGAACGAATTTCAACGTAGGATAGGTTAATATATTTTTTCGTACATAATCAGTTATCCAAAAAATCGATTTTCTGAACTACCCCAGTCCCCAACTGATTCAGATAATCGATGCTCTACTGTACTTATTTTGTACTGTTACTTAATGTAAAAATTCCAAATGTTATTTATTAATCAATTTTCAATTATATGTATCAAAATACTTTTTCTAATTTTAAAATCTCTCTAGAAATTTTTAAGGGTACAATATATAAATATTTCTCTAACCTTAAGTGTCTAAGAGTACAATTAAAAATTAAAGCTGATTTAAATAAAAAAAAGCAGACATTTTAATTTAAAATCATTGTATTAAATATAAATACAATAAACACTTATTCAAATTATTTGAAAGAATAACAAAACTTAACAATCTAATAATTATAAATATGACTTAGAAATAGGCCATTACTAAATTTTTATCAATTGCAGTAAGATATATTGATTAATTCCCTAAACAAATTAAAATATTGTAATATTGTTATTCATCGTTATTTTTTTAAGATATAAAATGATAAGTAACAAATTCTAATATTACACAGTTTTCATTAAAGCCATCAAATTGTTTAATTTCATTATATTTTGCAACATGTTATTTTAGTGATATTTAGTCAGATCTATTAAAAGTAAACATTACTACTTCACAATTCCAAATTTAAGATTTTCAAAATAAATCATATACTTACTGTATGAATGTATCTAGAATGGAACTCAGTAGCTTCTTTTAAAAATGTTAACCCTGGATGAGTATCAATTATATCCTGTAATATATTTAAATGCAATTTTACTCAGAAATTATCATTAACATTTAATATTAATATAGAATAAATTTGATTCAAATAATTATTTTTCTTGAAAATCAAATATTTAATTTCTAGATATAAAATTAAAAATATAGAGAAATAATAAACAAATGTTTCCTTTCTAATATGTAATTAGATAATTTTAAAAAGTTTACATACATTATAAAATTAGCTGTACTTATCTCTGTGTATGTGTACACTCACATATGCATATACATACACACATTTATTATTTTTTTTATTACAAGATAAAATGTTTTGTTCTAAAGAAGTTGTAAAACTAAAAAACTTCAAACTGTATACATTCAGTCTAGATATAATTTTATTCAATGATTTTCATTGTGAAATAAAAAGATCTTTAAAATCTATACATAAATGATCTAATAAATTCATAATTATTAGATTATGAATATAATTTCTTAGAATTTTCATATTAAGCATGATAAACTACATATAAAAATGCATCAATGCTATTACAAATTAAATTATATCATTACAGTATTATTAATGAAAACTTTACTAAAAAAAATCATTTAGAAAATATATTTATAGTTTCTAAGCAAATTATTTTTTATATGAATTTTTTCATTCTATATAAAATAAATTAACTCAGTCATAAAAGATTACATTAATAATGATTAATAAATAAAATTTATAAAATATAATAATAAATTATAAATATAAAAAATTTATATATTCTATAATGTTAACAATTATTTATGATCTTAAATATGATTGTAATTTCACTTATTGATAAATTGATACAGGACTTCTCTCTTCTAATAACAATTTAAAGATCTTTGAATTGTTTTTTACAATTCAGGAATAAAAGGTATATATTTTATAATGTACTGTTTTCATTAAATATTATAAAATAGTATTTATTTTTCAAAAGAAGGATGATAAATTTTAATAAATACATCATTTTCCATCAAAGCAAATGATTATTACACAAAATTTCTATGCAATTTATAATTATTACATTACATAAATTTATCATCTTTATCATTATAGTAAAAACTAAAAATTAAAAATGGAAAAAAATAATTGTTATAAAATTATGATAAAGCTTAATTTCTAGTTAAGAATTTTCTTGTATAATAGATTTTTTTAAAAAGTTCTGTATACAGTAATACCCCGAGTTACATAAGTAATGTGGACCATAGACTTTTACGAAACTTGAATTTGTAAATTGCTTAAGTGTAACTATGTAATTAATAACTCAAAGTTGTATTTATTATTATATGTGTAATGTTTTGCTGCTCAACCTTCACTGAGTACTGTAGAAGAATCTTGTTTACGAGAAAGAGTGCCCAGTATGCTTGCATCCATGTTTACAATTAGATTGAAAAGTAAAGGATTAGCAGAGCAATAAAGTAATAAATCAATACAGTTCAAAAGAAAGAAAAGAAGAGAGAGAGAGAGAGAAAAAAAGATGAATGAATGTTTGAAATAGAATAATTCCTTGTAAAATTACATGTTACTCTACTCAGATTTTTTCCAATTTTTGAAATTTACATTTTACATAACTGCAAATTTATGTAACTTATGCAACTTGAGGTATTACTGTATCTTGTAAATCTTACTTGTATCATTGCAATGAAATCATCAGGAAGTAAATATTTTCTGCTTCCTCGACTAAGAATAGCAACAAACTGAGATGCTTCATCATGACATATAGACACTAACCTATAAAAATAAAAATGTTATAAAATACTTGAGATAAATTAATAAGAAAAAGTTGAAAAATTATTATAGTTTAATATTGATAATGCACAAATACCAAATTTCCAGACATATAAGAGTATTAAATCTATTAAAAAAGATTAAGAGTAATTACTCTCAACTTTTTTTTAAATTACCAAAGTCAGGTATTATATTTAATTACTAAATGGACTCTTCATCCAAGATGAAATGTTTCACCTTGAACGAAGAGTCCAGAAAGTACAAGAGATAACTAAGAACTTTATCAAATTTTACATATTTTTAATATAATTTTAGTAATATAAGAGTATGTTCTCATAGATGGGGCAAAATAGGCACTATATTTTACAAAAGACCTAAAAAACTTACTATTTTTAAAAAACGTTTATACAACAATATATATTCATGTTTATGATATAACATAAATGTTATAATGGTAGAGACAATAAATAAATTTTAAATTTATATTAATACTGAATATCAATTAATAATTTGGATAAGAATAAAAATAAATAAGTTTAATAATATAGATAATCAATGAATTCTGATGTATTTTTAATGAAGTAATGTCATATAGAAGTTCATATGGGCAATGTGATATAATTATCAACTATCTAGAAAATTTTAAAATTTCTCTTTATTGCATTTATCTTAAAAAACTGAGTGTATATTATAAATATTAATATANGGTTACAAGTAAATCACTGCAGAATAAAAGCATTTTCTTGTAAGACTATTATGCAAACAAAATAAACAAATATTTAACTAAAATATGACGAATTATCAATACAACTTTCATAATCATCAAACAATCATACTTGTCCACTAAAACAATCGAGTAGAATATTCGAATCAACTTAACATTAATAATTTAATTTATATTGTCTACAAAAAGCAAAAAAATTTCGCTCTCTAATTACATTATTTTAGTGTTAATTCTCGAATTTTAAGCTATTTTCGGTATATTATGTCGGAATAAAAATCGATTAACGCAGTCATATTTCAGTAAAATAATATTTAGCCTACACACAGAGAAACTTTAAGACAATGTTAAAAACTTTGTGACGGATATTGATGTAGCATAGAATAGACCCGAAGATTTAGAAAAAAAAGTCCAGCAACGAGTTGTGTAACTTTCCCGGTAAAAAAAATAAAGCTGAAATTGCGTGTGGCTCCATCTCTTATGAGATTTTGTTTTAAAAACTTTTCATATTACAGTATTGATTATAAAAATGAAAAAGCTTAATTTTGAGAGTAAAGATGAGTTTTATAAAAAATTGTAAATGCTAATAACAAGTAAAATTGTCATTAAGTTTGAACCTGCTGGAAATACACACTACCCCCATTATCTCCCCATCCCCTTGACCTTTAATCACCAAAATTTAATATCATTAATCTCACTAATACACAAACCTCCCTGCAAAATTTCAGAAGTTTTTGACAAGAAGCATGAGAGTTTATTATAAAGCTTCAAGCTTCAAAACAAAATTGTGCCTCCCCCCCACACACACAAACAAACAAACATCCATACATTCAAAAATTATCCAAAACTTTTTATGCATTTCTTGATGCTTCAAGATGTCCTAAGTTCAAAAACATAAAAATCTTGGGAAGTCATTTTTGGCTGATTGCCATATTTTCCCTCTATTATATATAAAGGGAAAATAAAAATTAATTAATTTAATACAAAAACTGCATAAACACTTTTAATAGATATTTTTATAATAAAATTAACCTTTCCAAAACTGGAAGTAAGCTACAAGGATGGATCAAATATAAACGGTAATTTTGCTATTCTGCTTACCACGCAGTTCCTAGCTAGATGATGTAGAGTGCAGTTGATGTTTGGTTTGTGAGGAGTGGGGGACTAGATTGGTTAACAAATGCACTCGGTTCTGACGTCAGTACAGCCATGACCGAGCAAAAGGTACTGTACATTCGTCTGTTGCACAATGCATCATCATAAAGTTTTTAACAAATGAGGGCATTAAACCCTTGGAAATTTTTAGTCAATTGAAGGCACAGTTTGGGGACAGTACACTGTCTCAGAATCGTGTGTATACATGGGCCAGAGAATTTAAGGGTGGGCAAGAACATGTTGAAAATGAAGGTCATAATCGATGCCCAAGGACAAGCCTTACAGATGACAACATCCATGTCATTCAAATCTTGAACGACATGGATGTTGAACGTGATCGCCGGTTAACTGTTGAAGAAACTCATCAGAAGTGGGTATCAGCTATGCCTATCAGAAATGTCATCCTTCTTCAAGACAATGCCAGGCCTCACACTGAGTTCTTGACAAGGAATAAACTGGAAGAAATGGGCTGGGAAACCCTCAAACACCTTCCTTATAGTCCGGACTTGTCCCCCCGTGACTATGTTTTGTTTGCACCCTTGAAGGAATCACTTGGAGGAAAATGATTCACAAGCAATGAAGAAGTTGAGGAGCAATTGGCTCATAACGCACCCTCAATCTTTTTATGAGAGAGGGATATTGAAGCTTCTAAATCATTGACAAAAGTGTGTAGAGCTTGCAGGCAGATATGTAGAGAAGAACTAAAGTTTTCACTTCTGTATATTATTAATCAATAAATGTCTAAAAAAATTTTACTGTTTATATTTGATTGACTCTTGTATTTCAGATTAAGAAAAAAATCAGAAGCAATTGTTGCAAAGGCTTTTCCCTTAATACTGTTAAATGCAATGACAGAAAATTTGATGCTATGCAGTTCATAGTAAATATGATTAGCTGTATACTGTGCTTAACAGCAAATAAACAATCACTTCTAGGATAAAGCTTACTGAAAAATCAGTGGTATAAATAAATATAAATTTGGTGTCAAAAAATATTTTTATCTGTTTATAACTTGTTTTCAGTTTTGAGGAATACAGAAAATTTTTTATTTATGTAAGAACCATTAAAATATTGATTTATTTAGAAATAAGAAAATTGATTAATTAGAAAGGTCAGTAACCCCTCATTATATTGCTCATTCAGATATATCACGTATTTTTTTTACATTCCAAACATAAAAGCACTTTAGCTAATAATGGATGGATATATCAGCTTTATTGCACCATCTGATGTATCACTTATTTGGTTTGTCTTCGTACTTGTGTGAAATAATTTAATAGAGTCTAAAAATTTATTTTAAATAAAAACAGTAAGAAATACAGTAGATCCCCCTATAAGACGGTAGATACGTTCCGTTCTTTATGAATCAATTTTGTAGGAATCATAGTTTACGGACTACGGCTGTTTGAAAGGTTTTCTTTCATAAAATTAATCGATTCTAGACTAATTCGACTCANCAAGAACATGTTGAAAATGAAGGTCATAATCGATGCCCAAGGACAAGCCTTACAGATGACAACATCCATGTCATTCAAATCTTGAACGACATGGATGTTGAACGTGATCGCCGGTTAACTGTTGAAGAAACTCATCAGAAGTGGGTATCAGCTATGCCTATCAGAAATGTCATCCTTCTTCAAGACAATGCCAGGCCTCACACTGAGTTCTTGACAAGGAATAAACTGGAAGAAATGGGCTGGGAAACCCTCAAACACCTTCCTTATAGTCCGGACTTGTCTCCCCGTGACTATGTTTTGTTTGCACCCTTGAAGGAATCACTTGGAGGAAAATGATTCACAAGCAATGAAGAAGTTGAGGAGCAATTGGCTAATAACGCACCCTCAATCTTTTTATGAGAGAGGGATATTGAAGCTTCTAAATCATTGACAAAAGTGTGTAGAGCTTGCAGGCAGATATGTAGAGAAGAACTAAAGTTTTCACTTCTGTATATTATTAATCAATAAATGTCTAAAAAAATTTTACTGTTTACATTTGATTGACTCTTGTATTTCAGATTAAGAAAAAAATCAGAAGCAATTGTTGCAAAGGCTTTTCCCTTAATACTGTTAAATGCAATGACAGAAAATTTGATGCTATGCAGTTCATAGTAAATATGATTAGCTGTATACTGTGCTTAACAGCAAATAAACAATCACTTCTAGGATAAAGCTTACTGAAAAATCAGTGGTATAAATAAATATAAATTTGGTGTCAAAAAATATTTTTATCTGTTTATAACTTGTTTTCAGTTTTGAGGAATACAGAAAATTTTTTATTTATGTAAGAACCATTAAAATATTGATTTATTTAGAAATAAGAAAATTGATTAATTAGAAAGGTCAGTAACCCCTCATTATATTGCTCATTCAGATATATCATGTATTTTTTTTACATTCCAAACATAAAAGCACTTTAGCTAATAATGGATGGATATATCAGCTTTATTGCACCATCTGATGTATCACTTATTTGGTTTGTCTTCGTACTTGTGTGAAATAATTTAATAGAGTCTAAAAATTTATTTTAAATAAAAACAGTAAGAAATAATATATAATAATTTTAATAAAATTATATTAAACATTTTAATTTAATTGTAAAAAATTGTATTAGTTTATTCACTTTATTTATATATTTGATATTGAAATAAAATATTAGATATCACATAATTTAGCTATAAACTCACAATACGTTATGACCTTCATGGGTCAAAATAAGAAAAAACTGAGTTAAAATTAACTTGTATACGAGTAAAAGTCAGAATAAGTAATTCAAACTGTGTCAATACTACTATTTCCCAAATAATGTATGGTACTAGTCACAACCTTAAAAGCTTTCAATAAAAAGAAAAAAAATTTCATATTACTATGGAAACCATATTATTATACATAGCCTTAATCATAATAAAAATATTAACTTGTACTGGAATTAGAAAGAATTAAGCAAAATTATCACCTTTTTAAATATTCCAGCATATAATTTAATATTGTAAAAACGTTTTCAATCGTCTTTAACGATCTTCATCAGTTAAATAATAAAGTAAAAAGAACATTAAAGAAATAGAACTTAAATTAAAATTACGAAAAATAATAACTGTGCATGCATTTGTGATGATGTGTGCTTAAGGGAATGAATACAAAAAGATAGGGATATAAGAATATAAAAAATAAAAATAAAATGCTTGACAGAATCGCATTAAAAATTAATGCCTCGTAAAAATTACAGTTTATCTTCATAAAATGATTTCCATGCTGTAGATAGAGAGTGGGCGTCCCTATGGTTGATACAAGAAGTTTTCCCTTTATAAATCTCAAGCTTTTCAAGATGTCTGATGGAGTGCTTGTTAGACGTGGGTCTAATGATGGAAGCTTGGTCCCATATAACCTCAACACCTTGCTGGTTGGCATAAGATGCTAAAATGGTGCTATCGACCGCTATTAACGAATGCACCCAAAAACCGTTACCAGTTGATGATGCGCATGCTGAGATCATATAGGATGAATAATCCTCTGGTAAAATATTTACTTAAATAATAAATAAGTAATTTACCTATGACAAAAACGAATAATAAATACAATTTAAATAAGGATTTAACAGCGTGTTTTTTAATTTTTGGAACCTAACCCTCCTTTTCGCACTAGTTCTTTGTTTCGTATAACACGGATTTGCATAACACAGCAATTTTTTGGAACGTAACTCCCATGCTATACAGGGGTTACCTGTAGTTGATTACTTTAATAAGCAGTGTTGAATATCTGTTTTTATTATGATGATGCCAAAATTGGAAGATTTCAAAAACTACTGTAAAAATTATTGTATTTATTTATTGTTAAACAAAGTATATTTAATTAAAAGTTTAGGTTTTAAGTTTAATTTGTTTTAATTTCTTTATACCCAATTTCTGTTTAATCTTTCAACATTACTTCTGTAGTATTTCCTAAATTTTACATAAAATTAAATCTTTTTAAGTAAACTTTGATCATCTTTAGAATTCCATAAGTTATGTGAACATGAAATAAACATTTTTAAATTCATAAAATTTTAAAAACACACTCGGATAAAGTAACTTTCTGAATTTAAAAATGTTAGACTCTATGCTCATATTAACAAACAGAATATAAACAAACAGAATTATGATAAACATTCAGTTCTATATAAAATCTTAAATAATATGCAACTAAAGAATTAAAAAGTTTTGAAATATACAGTATCTTATTATATAAAGTTTATATCTATAAAATGCTGTAAATTGTATATATTACAATCATTTATGCTTCATATTTCATAATCATAAAAATTGTAACTAGAGTTTAAAATTTACCTTCAGATACAGATGGTTCATCTTTTATAATATCAGATATAGAAGAGTTTAAATTTTTATCATTTTCAATTTTATGTTCTACATTTAAATCTTCAGTTTTAATATTTATTTGTGAATGCATTGTATTACTGTTATCCTTGTTCTTTTCAGAATTCTCATCTAATGTTTCTTTANTGATATTATAAAAGATGAACCATCTGTATCTGAAGGTAAATTTTAAACTCTGGTTACAATTTTTATGATTATGAAATATGAAGCATAAATGATTGTAATATATACAATTTACAGCATTTTATAGATATAAACTTTATATAATAAGATACTGTATATTTCAAAATTTTTTAATGCTTTAGTTATTTAAGATTTTATATAGAACTGAATGTTTATCATAATTCTGTTTGTTTATATTCTGTTTGTTAATATGAGCATAGAGTCTAACATTTTTAAATTCAGAAAGTTACTTTATCCGAGTGTGTTTTTAAAATTTTATGAATTTAAAAATGTTTATTTCATGTTCACATAACTTATGGAATTCTAAAGGTGATCAAAATTTACTTAAAAAGGTTTAATTTTATGTAAAATTTAGGAAATACTACAGAAGTAATGTTGAAAGATTAAACAGAAATTGGGTATAAAGAAATTAAAACAAATTAAACTTAAAACCTAAACTTTTAATTAAATATACTTTGTTTAACAATAAATAAATACAATAATTTTTACAGTAGTTTTTGAAATCTTCCAATTTTGGCATCATCATAATAAAAACAGATATTCAACACTGCTTATTAAAGTAATCAACTACAGGTAACCCCTGTATAGCATGGGAGTTACGTTCCAAAAAATTGCTGTGTTATGCAAATCCGTGTTATACGAAACAAAGAACTAGTGCGAAAAGGAGGGTTAGGTTCCAAAAATTAAAAAACACGCTGTTAAATCCTTATTTAAATTGTATTTATTATTCGTTTTTGTCATAGGTAAATTACTTATTTATTATTTAAGTAAATATTTTACCAGAGGATTATTCATCCTATATGATCTCAGCATGCGCATCATCAACTGGTAACGGTTTTTGGGTGCATTCGTTAATAGCGGTCGATAGCACCATTTTAGCATCTTATGCCAACCAGCAAGGTGTTGAGGTTATATGGGACCAAGCTTCCATCATTAGACCCACGTCTAACAAGCACTCCATCAGACATCTTGAAAAGCTTGAGATTTATAAAGGGAAAACTTCTTGTATCAACCATAGGGACGCCCACTCTCTATCTACAGCATGGAAATCATTTTATGAAGATAAACTGTAATTTTTACGAGGCATTAATTTTTAATGCGATTCTGTCAAGCATTTTATTTTTATTTTTTATATTCTTATATCCCTATCTTTTTGTATTCATTCCCTTAAGCACACATCATCACAAATGCATGCACAGTTATTATTTTTCGTAATTTTAATTTAAGTTCTATTTCTTTAATGTTCTTTTTACTTTATTATTTAACTGATGAAGATCGTTAAAGACGATTGAAAACGTTTTTACGATATTAAATTATTTGCTAGAATATTTAAAAAGGTGATAATTTTGCTTAATTCTTAATCATAATATTTCCTAATCTTTGTTCATTAGATTATATTACAATATAATAAATAAAAACAATTACACATATGAACAAATTAAAGTTTTAAATTGAATAAAATAACTAAATAAATGAAAATAGTTGGGGAAAAAAATTTATGATAAATTACTCTTGGCATTTTCTCTTTCATAAACAAGTGAACTACAATTAAAGCTATATTTCATAAACATTTCAAATAGGAAATCTAGAATCAAGTAAATTAAATATAAATTTTATTTCTATTGTAAATTTATGATTCTCAGTAGAATTCAATTTTATATTTATTTAAAAAATATAATTCTAATAATTTGTTTATATAATTAAACTTAATAATAATATGTTATATATTTTACTAGCTGTTACTCATGGCTTCACCTGCACAGAATTTGCAATTTGATAGAAATAACCCTCCCTTGATACTTCACTAAGATTCTCAATCATTAGTTGTTACTATAAAAACAAAAAAATTGCACCTAAAATAGTACAGTAGAAACCATTCTTCAGGTTAAGCTTTAATCCTCTCCCTCTCCCCCTGTGGGGAATTTCAAAAACTCCCTTCTTAGAGTGCATTTTCATGATGTACCCTAACTGTGTACCAAATTTCACCTCTTTAGGTTCAGCGGTTTGCTCTGAGCAATGATGAATCAATCAATCAGTCAGTCATGACATGTAATTTTATATATTTAGATTACAATATATAAATAATAAAATGTTTCTTAAAGTTCACACATGTGAACTTTAAGAAACATTTTATTATTTATAACAGAATCATAATTCTAAAATAAAAGCATTTCCATATTTCTAGTCTTCAAGTAAAAAATAAATTTCAAATTTGCTTCGAACAAGTTAAAATTTTAATAAGAATTTTAAATCTTTTCTCATTCTTACCTTTTCCAGTATTCCAAAAACATATTGCATCTAACATATGATTTTCTACTTCCAACAACTGCTTCAAACAATGGAACTTTCCAGTAAAGAGGCAAATTGCATGCCTGCAATAATCATTATATTTTAAATACTTATATAATTACTTTATTTCAAAAATATTTAATATTATTATCTATTTGGAAAAGGAATTCTGGTCAAGATGGCCATAATTTAAACTTTTCCTATTTGTAGGTTTCTAGTGCTTTATTTAGCAATAAAAAATGTCAGCAAATTTGTTATTCGGGTGCTGGGGAAAAGCATTCCATGTAAAATTTGTTCCTAAATTCACTTGTAGGAGCCAGTTCTGACCTAAAGTAAAAAACTTTCCAAAAAAATTATTTGTTTTCTTTTTGCTGATATCCAAGAAGTGTAAATACAGCAGTCAACCATCTTAAATTTATTCTTGCTGATAGTTGTTCTAACATGCATTTAACTTTGCTCAATCACACATTAACTGTAAAGTTATCTTTACCAAAATGGGTGTAAATGCAGCAGCAGGCTCTTCACAACTTTAGATGCCATAAAAGCTTACAGATAAGTCGCCTTTCAATTCCTGCAATTACAATGATTTGAAAAAAAACAGGATCTTTGGCAGTTAAAGATAGAGGGAACAGAGACCTTTTCCACCTAAAGTTACATAAGACACTGCATTGGCTATTTTTGACAGTTCCATGAATAATATTACTGGTTCTAGTCATGGGCATCAATTCATATAGGGCAGAGAGGATATAGCCCCTCAATATTTTTGTAGAAGAAAATTGTCCCCTCCAAAATGTATTTTTATTTTATATCATGTTAAAAAAATTAAAAGTAAAAATAATTACTGTACACAACAAAATACCCTTCATTTGTATATCCACTCAAAACCTAACAATGAAAAATTTTCTTTCTCATTGTCATTGGTCCATCCTCTCAATATGTATACAGGATATCCCCAATTGTACTGTACACGATATACGTAATAAAGCGGCCATATATGTCATATTTCATGGTGTGGAGGTCCTTCACAGAGTGATATAGTTTTACTCATTAAAGATCATCACTGACATCAGATGTAACAAGGAGATTCAGAACAGGTATTGTAATTTGATTTGACTTGTCTGACAAGAATGGAAGTCACTAATGCCTAACCTTAAAACATTGGGGACTCCAGACTTATTTTTGCTTGAATGGGACTGTACACATACAGAACTGTCAAATTTGGATTTTAGATATTTCCCAAGCTATGCATTATAATCTCCAGGACTTGGCAATCTTAAAGGACAACATAACATAACAAGTCATGAGAAATGTTTCATACATGCTATGTTCTGTTGGCAAGCATACTGTGAGCCAAATGCAGATTTCTAGTCTACAAAAACAGTGACCACAATGAAATTCATCGCAACTGGGCCAAATAAACTTTTATTTCTTGTTTCATTTTGTTATTCATTTACTTGTAGCTTATACTGTTTTCTCTTTTTGTTTGTTTCTAGCACCATATTTCCATTATTGGATTTTAAAGCTAAAATATTTTTGTGGAACGTTTTTCCCTGCCCTAAATATTCCTATACCTACCACATTTGGTAATATTCTGAGTGTTAAATCAGACAGCCAAAAGCTCCAAATAAGAAATGTTAAATTACAGCCACCTGTAGAATTAATAATTCTAATTTAATATTACATTTTTTAAAAGTTCTTCCCACTATATGAGCACTAAAATACTTTTTGAACCCATCATGAATTAAATTATAATAGTGCAGCTGGATGATGAGATACCAGGTGTATTGGTTAATAATGCACATTTTGTAATCAAAAAGAATATAATAATTTCAAGAAAAAAATCAAAAGTGTTTTATTTGAAGTAATGACCATCACTAGCTACACATTTCCCCATTTTTTGGGTAATTTGTGCATACTGTCCCAATAGAACTTTTTCTGTTTTCAGGCAAACCATTCAGAGACCCATTTTTCCACTTCATACATTTTGAAGTGCTGCTTAGATAGTGCATGTGCCATCAACAGGAACAAGTGAAAATCAGAAAGAGCAAGGTCTGGTGAGTATGGCAGGTGGGTTAATACTTCCCAGGCAAGATGTTTAATGTCAGTTAATGGGTCTTTAACTGGTTTTAAAGTGTGTGATGGTGCATTATCATGAAGCAAAATATTTTGTCTACTGGCCCATTCTAGTTGTTTTACAATCAAAGTGTGGTTCAAATTGATTATTTGTTATCAATAACGATCAGTATTAATGGTTTCACCTGGTTTTAGATGCACCACACCTTCCTGATTCCACCAAATGCAAAGCATTGTCTTCTTTCCGAAGTGATTTGCCCTTGCAGTCAATGTTGATGGTTGACTTGGATCAAACCATGATTTTATACATTTGGGATTCTCAAAATAAATCGACTTTTCATCACCAGTCACAACTCAATGCAAAAAAAAAACTTTCTTTTGTGACATTGAAGCCATGTTTTACTGATGACTTTTTGGTTTTCCATTTGTCTTTCATTCAGTTGATGTGGCACTTATTTTCCTTCTTTTAAAATCTTTTTCATTGCTTGTAAACAATTGGAAATTGTTTGCTGAGCAATGTTTAATCTTTCTGCAAGTTATTTTTGAGTTTGACACACATCTTCATCCAATAATGCTTGTAATTGTTGGTCTTCAAACTTTTTTGATTGACCTGTCTTTCACATTAAATGTGATGATTTCAAAGTGTTTAAACCAACATTCACAAATATCTTGAGATGGGGAATGTTTACCATAAGCTTCCCAAGATATACGATAACTTTCAGCAGCACTTTTCTTCAAAATAAAGAATTAAAACTTCCCGTAAATGCTCTATTTTTGACACAAAATTCAACATATTTAAGCATAAAAATATCTATGATGTTAACACCTTCAGAACATTTGACATATAAAGTTTTAAAGCTTGTTGCGAATACAACAAAATGGCATACATATCAAATTGGAGATATATTAAGATATGTGTAATGCCATCTATTGAACAAAATCTGCATTATTAACCAGTACACTTGATACAATCTGGATCAAATCACAATGAAAATTTCTGTGATTCCAACCAGAGCAACAGACTGATTCTTATACTATTATTTATTTATTTATTCTTATTATGATAAAATATTTTAAATTCTAGCACAATATTAAAGTTTAATCTAGAAACATTTAAAAACTATGTTTAAAGAATTAAAAGCATTTACTGTTATTGTTTATGTACTATAGAAGAACAAGGTTTTAAATAATCTTGAAAAGACATTAGCATTTGCATGAATGTTAATGCATTTTCAGGATCATCAAAATACTGATAGCTTATATATGTATATGTAGACTATATAAGTTATAAAATTAAATTTTGAAGTGTTTATAATAATTTTAAGCTTTATAACTTTTTCCAACATTAAACAGTTGGAGAGAAAACATTAATCAAACACTTAAATAAAATATAAACAAATGACTAAATCTAAGATAACTTAATTGATAAATTTAATTTATAACTTTTCAAAAAATTGTCTTTTAACACATCACAATGTTTTGAAAACTAATGATTAAAAATACAGGAAGAAAAGTCTAATTTGATAACAGTTACACTTACTTTGGTAATAATTCCAAATTCTTCCTTTTCAACTTTTTCATCTTTGAAGGCAGAAAATGCTGCTTTGATCTCTTGTAATTGTGCTTCAATTTCTACAGGAAGTAAAGGTCGACCTTGAGGATAGAAAAACTGAGGAATGTGTCGAGGTGTGCTTGATTTTTGGATCTTTAAAGCTGTTGCTCTGCTTAATTCGACATTTTCTTTATCTTTCTGAACATAAATAGACTGAAAGAAATATAAATATTTGTATAAATCATGTGAATTTTTGAACTTTAAAAATAGATATAACTGCATGTGTATGTTCAAAAGTCAAAAGGCTTCACTTATGAGTAAAATTATTTTTACACATTTTACTTGTATTTATTGATATAATATCAATATATAGATTTATTTCAATATTGAAAAATTTACTTCTGTACTACAAAAGAAAATAAAAATTTCAAGTATCAAACAAGCATTACATTAAGTTAAAAATATTGTATAAAGTTGATCAATTATAAAATTTCTGAGATACATTTTTTACTAGTAACAGTGAATAACAGTATGCATTCATACAAGAATTTTTTACCTATTTTCTAAGTTGGTAGTGCCCAAACTATAGCCCACAGGCTGTAGTTTGGGCCAAACGTGTACGCGACCAAATCTGGCCTGCGGTACACATTTATCCACCCATAAACATATTTGACACATCACTTATAAATGACAGAAATAAACATACTTTTCATATATTTGGAATATACAAAATATTTGTGGCCTTCCTATCTATGACTTATGTGCAATTTGAACTATCAATTGAGAAGTTTGGGCACCACTATTCTAAGTGATCAAAATAATGTACAAGTTAAACATTTTATTCATATATAAATGAAAAAATTCTTAGCTTCAGATTACACTGTATTGTTAAATGTGCAAAATTTCTTGTTGTTTCTTAAATATTTTATAATATTTAATGTCCTCAATTTATAGAAAATACAACTGGTCATCCCAGAATAACTACCAATACTTTTGGCTTCGTGTGAAAGAATAAATATGTAACCCAGATTTAAAAAAAGTCAAGACGGCAGATTTTAAATAGAATCCATCACTTTTCAACAAGAAAATTCATTTTAATTTTGTTATCACCTTGAACTACTTTAACAGAAAAAAAAAATTCAGGAAAAATTAATTAACAAGGGAATAATTAAAAATAGATGATCAGACTAAATTTAAACAGATACCAAAATATACAATTAGATTAACTAACATATTGTTATTTGAATTTATGTTAAATATATGTAAATTCAAAAGTAATATAGAAAATTGTTAGAATAGTAATTCATTTTATTATCAACGTATAGAAGAATTCTATTATAAAAACTAGAAGTAGATAAAAATACTGACCCTAGCCGACGAGCCTTTCTCCCTAGTAATCTCCCAAAACTAAAGAGAAAGAAAGAAAGAAAGAATGTTACATATGGTTTAAGGAAGATTACATTCAAAGATATTTAATTCTATATCAATTTAGAATGAGTATGTAATATTAGAATTAAAATATATATAAATATATAATGTTTATGAATAATTAAGATTTATAAGCAGAGAATTTTTTTCTTTCTTTAGCTTAAAATTTGGCAAGACAAAGTGTCCTTCAAACATCTAGATAATCTGGGTACATGGAAGGAAAGAGGTCGTTTTTGACAATGCAAGAAAAAATTAAGAAGTTCCTCAAGTTTCAAAAGTTTCTCTTCAAGATAAGATACAGATTTGGATACTATAAAAGGCTAACTTCAAACTCTCATATGCTCAAATAGTCTGTTTCTAAATTTAAAGAAAATGAAAACTTTCATCACTATATAAGGTTAAGACAAGTTAACTGTGTGCTTCACTATTAACAAAGCTGGATTATTAATTAAATCGTGTAGTAAAACAAGCATTAGTAAAAATGATTTGTGAATTGTTATATCAGCAATTCGATGATGATAATGCCAGAAACAAACTATGCATGCACATAACTGTAGAACAACATACAAAGTTACAACAATGCAGAGTAAGGCTCCAACTATTCTGTAAAAATACACAAAAAGATGCCAAATAAATTCAAGTTTTGAATGTTTCTAATGTTATTTAAAAAATACAAAAATCGGAGAAAATTTTATATTATCTATTTGAGTCATTGAACTTGTATAAAATGGTTTAGGTTAATGGGCATGTATAAATAATTAAACTATTTTAATATTTGCCATTTCAGCTATCCTTTTTAGGTAAAATAAATTCTAGATTTTTTCCCCCCATCAATTTATTACCAAGTCATGTTATAAATTGTAAAGGTATTCAGGTAATAGACATTTTATTACAACAGAAACTACAGTAAACAAAAGGACCATTTCTCTTATTTCTTGGCAGAGGAAGACTTTTCCGTCATTTACACACTCCTCAGCATACATTAGAGATTTTTAACTAAAATTTTATGAGACTGTTAAACCTACTCCAATTTACTAAAACTGAGATTTGTATAAAATCGCTAGCGACATTAAAGTTTTAGATTAAGATCGCTATGTCAACTTGAATAAAAGCAGAGATTTCTAGGTATTAAAAAAATAATAATAATAATAATAAACTGGTATCAAGGCTCGAAAGATATATAACAGATACCCTGTCAGTCATTATTCGAACGAATTAACCGACAATGAGTAACCTGATACATATTATAAACAAAAATGTTTTGACAAGATAAATGGACAGTAAGTTACTAGGAGAATTTCACATCGTTTCTCAATTCTTAGAAAGGAAATATGCGTGTAATATTCATTGTAAAAAACATGTTTTAATACGCAAAATAATATCTATAATTACGTTTATTGTATAATAAAAATACAAGGTTTTATAGGAAGGAAAAATTTCACGTATATGATTGAAACGTCAAATCGAAAGTATGGCAAAATTAGCCTGTACTTACAAAATTTTGATATTTTAAAACCCCGTAAACAAACTGTTTATTCAACTATGTTGCAATATAAGTTAAAATTATATTTTAAAAGTTTTGAAACTGAAAACTGTACCAAATAATAAGTACAGTACTTTGTACTGTACGTCTCTGTAGACGACATTAAGTCGACTATCATTAACGTAATCATTTTTCCTAATTAATATTCAAATATATATATACTGTATTGCACATCAAGAGTTTGAAAATAGAAGGACACGAAGATCAAATTTTCAAAAATGAAATGAGTAATTTATAATTAGATACGACAAAATTAGTACTTTTGATTCCTTTTTTTCTCCTCTGTGCACAAATTTTTTCAAGAAATTTTTTATTTCTTATGAATATATTAACTCTATAACCCTAATAAATAAATAAAAATCTCAAACAATAATTCTTTGTTTCGAAAAGCAGAGTGCCATAAAAAATAAAACGAAAAAAAAAGTACACAATATACACTTTATAAGGGCTTCCTACACTTACAAAAATGTTTAAATCCTTTAAAAATTTATAATAATAAAAAAATGCATTAAAAACTGTATTCAATTTTCTCAATATTAATTAAAAATTCTATTATTTTCAATTATTTTTTTTAATTAAAAAACAATATTCTTTCACCACAAAATAAAACAGTACTTCATGATTTCAAATGATGAATTCGAGTTCAAGAATTTTCACGGGTGTTAAGTAAAATGACACAGTGTATATATTTGTTATACGTTGGTGACATAGAGAGAGAAGAGGGAAAATGGCGCATTGCATACCTATGAAAATTTGCTACCGTGCGGTACATTCCTATCATGAATGAATATTAATAGACAAGGGAAAGAAAGTATAGATAGAAGGCAATTTGTTTTGGGTCAAGGAAGCGTATCTCATAGATAATTAATACCTTATGTTAACGTAACTTCTTTCAACAATCGTTAATTTCGTATAGGTCTATCAGCAATCGTATTCGTTCTACTTTATTAAAGAGATAAGCATCATAATTAATCTAGAAACTGTTTATTTTTTTTGCATGATAACCTGGACCTGATTTCGTTTCAAAACTACTAGATTTTAGGATGATAACATCCAGTGTAAGGTTGGTTAAGCAGTGATTTAATGGTTTTGTTCTACTCGACTAAGCAAAAAAAATTTTTTTTATAAATGATCATTTGGATGTTTGTTTATATTAAACATTGGCAAGATGCTACAAACAAAAACAGATAGCCATTTTCCTAATTTAGACAATCTAGGAAGTTATTTCTAGTAATACGTTTCATCAGTTTGACTTTGGCAAAGATTACAAAATAAAAACTCACGAGGACTTCCTAAATTCTTTGAAAAAATGTAAATAATGTACAATAGATGAGCTTAAACCTGTTCTACTTAATAAAGTGTGTTTCCCGGACACCGGGATCTAAAGCTTAACATTAAAAAAAATAATAATTGATTTTTGAATACTAATATTGAATAATCATTACGAATAATGCGCTACAAAAGGCTGGTATGTTCGTATTTTAATCGGTTTAAACGTTAAAATGAGGGCTTTCCATTGTCTGAAATTCGTAGTAGCGTTCACAAACGTAGATTTAAAAATAAAAATAATTTAAAATGTGATTAATTTTCTAATCCGTGCGATTTACAAACGTTGGTGAGTGACTAAACACATTGTTTTACGTTTCGAACAACAAAAACACTCGACCGTACTCATTGTCAACAAATAGGGGATTAAAGCTAGAAAAGGATGCTCAACTTTTCTAACAAAGTTGTACAAAGATGACTTCACCACTCCTGGAAAGTGGCACAGTTTATTTTTAGTATAAGTTCCAGAATCACAGCCAAAAGTGATTCTCTCTCGACTCGTAGCCGTCTGGTTATTTAGAAATCGCGATGGAAAACTTTAAAATCAGTTATGTTTAGTCATATTACACACAATTAAAAGTTTATATAAAGAATGGATATGTAAAAATGAATATGAATCCCGCGAAAATTCTATAGCGCAACAGAAACAATGGAAGAAGAATTAAACAGTACCATATTTGAGTAAACTATTTCGAAAGAATACAACTGCACAAGCAAAAATAATTAAATTATTCCGAAATCTATAAGTAATTCAAGCTCATACTAAAGATCTGTATAAGTAATATATATATATAACTTACGATTAAAATATCCCGATAGACATCCTCTATGTTACTTCTTTCGAGTTTGGGCATTTTATAACAGGAAATCAAAAACGCACAAGAAAAATTCGAGCAAAACGAAGAGTCATTTAAATTGTTATTCATCAATTTTGATTGTTAACTCATCGTTTATCAATTAATCATCTTCGTATTTTACTTTGAGAAAGTATATAAAAAACATTCAAGATACAGTTTAAAGATTTTTCAATCTAACTGATATACAGTATATATTTTTTAAACAGATATGACCTAACATTCATAGAATAGGATCTACTTGAAGAAAGTTTGCTGGTTGTATAGAAGAAAATGAAAGTGCCGTTGTTTCCATAAATCAAGAACTAATTCAGAATAAACGCACGCCACAAGAAACATCTTTTACACATGTTGGAAGAGAACAAAAAACCGATTTCTCATCCTATATAAGTGCGTCAGTGGACTCTAGTTCACTAACCTTGAGAAGTGCAGAGACTCTGTCTTCTATTTATATTTTCTCTTATCGAGAAAGACTTGGTATTATAATACAGAGATATCTTTTTACCAATAATAAAGTTCAAACGGGGTGAAACAGGTAAACGAAAACCATGAGCTCGTGTTATTTTTGGTTGGTATCGACGTGGAAAAAAAATTACTGTATGATTAATTTAACTTTAAAAATTGCAACCGTGATAAATTTGGGATTTGTGGGCGAGATCTAAAAATAGATATCGTGAATTTGACAATAATTAGCACGTGTCTGCGTCTCTGTAATCCCTCACGTTTTATATCGTACTAGCAAAGTGACTTTCGGAATGCGTGGAAGAAATAAAAGGTCGTTTACACGAATTTATTTCCACAAAACATATTCATTTTTACCAAATTAGTTCCTGAAGCACTACGAAAAAAAGCGTTCATTTATCTTAATTAAGTAATTTTCTTGGCATAATAAGCGTGGGAGGAGAACTCATCTGAAACTGGGTACGACTCGAAAAACTCTGAAATACATTTATGAACACGAAATTAAATTAAATATTTATAATTAATTCGATTTAATTAAGGAATTAGTTGGATATAACGTAATTTTGGAGGGTTTAACACACGTAAATATCGAAAATAGGAGCGAGGACTTATCGGCGCACTACAGGAAACTACCGATCAATTATGTAGTTATGTACAATACAGTACTCCTTCGACAATTGTTGATAATTTATCATTTAGAGAAATGATTAGAAAACAAGAGATAAATAGATAAGATACCCATTATACAACGAATTTAAAACTGAAAATTCTTAACGTTCCGTTCTCAAGGCTAAATTCTGAACTGAATACGTTACAAATTCGACAATATTTAAGTGAACGGTATAAAATTTTAAAGCTTGTATAATCTACAGATCTTAAAGCTCTATTAATTAAATTATACAGACGTTAAAGTTGTAAAATTAAAAAAAAAAAATGGAGCCGAAACCATAAAAATCATTTCCTAATGGTAATGCTTATACTAAATGTAGATTTAATCATAATTATATATTCGATTTTTTCCTTTTCTAAGAGGGAGAGGGAAAAAAAAAGTCGAACTTTTATAAATCTGGAATGAAAGCCACGATATAAACGGATCCAATAAGACACGTCAGCACTTCCCAAATGGTCTAAGTATAGAAAGGCAATAAAACAAAAAAAAAGTTACTTACATAAACTAAAACACCTACCCGAGTTTTGTGTTGAATATCTCCCGTTGTGGACTTCCAAGTATTGTATAGTAGAGACTTCGATTTCGATGACCTATCCAATGCCCTTTCTGGGCAACATTCAAATAACAAAACCCTTTCGGCTACCGAACCCTTAGTTAAAAATGGACGTATGGGAACACCGTGAGAGTTCTCGGATTGTACAGATTGAGATCTACCTCTTAGGTGTTTCTGATTATTCAGTTTGGGTAGAGGGATGATGGGTGATTGCCCCTCTACTCCTTCGTTGTTTTCCCACTTGGATTTGAATTCCGTAACTAATTGATTATTCTTGAGCTTGGGTTTGATGATATCTTCCAGTTTTATCGACTGAGTGACGTTCTGAAATCTGGATTTGGCATAATCCACGGCCGATAAGGTGCAATCGCGTGATGTAGATTCGGCGTTATCTACGGAAGACAAGCCTTGTTGACTGACGCTTCTTTGTTGTAAGGCTGGGAATTCATTTTTATAATAAATACTAGGATAACTGGAAGGGCGATTACCTCTATTGTTCTTGATTCGACCGTTGTGTATTTCGTCCACTAAATTATCACTCGAACCGCCGTCGATATCATCTCGTTTCATTTTGTTTGGGGCGTCTTTATTTATATTTTTGTCTGTGTCTGTTTTTGTGATATCACAATTGTTTTGTTGTGTTTTATGCTGCGATTCTTTATTTTTATCGGGGCAATCTTTGAACTTCGTACATTCCGACGTCTTATCGGTCAAAAGATTTATAACACCAGTTTTCTTCGTGGTATTTTCTTCCGAATTGTCACTTCTGTAAATTATCGTCAATGCGTTGTCGTCCATACTTTTAACATTTTGCAAATTATCCTTGATACTGGATATTTTATTTATCGTCAAACCCGTTTCGTTTTGGACACGATCCTTGTTTAAACTTTTTTCGTCTACATTCTTTTCTTCCTTTGTCTTTTTTACTTTCGATGTTGCCTGCGTATTAACTTGGACATCGTTACTTTGTACCGAAGATATCTTGTCACTTTCACTTTTTTTTATAGATTTATCATCGGTATTTCGGGTTCCAATTTTATCCTGAACGTCACACTTATCCTGTACATTAATTTTAGTGCTGATTTTATCCACATCCGCTGAAGGTTTCTCATTAGTAGTTTTTTTCACCTCTGTATCCTTACTTTTCGTTGCGCTGTCGACGTTAGAATTAGGAATATCCTTCGTGGAATCTTTGTTACTTAATTTATTAGTGGAATATTCCTTAATCTTCGTCGCCGTTTTCGCTACAGAATCGTCTTTAACCACCTTATCCTTGATTTTTAATTTTTCAGTGAGGGTAACATCGTCCTTCGCAGCATCCTTGTTTCTCACTTCCGTTTTTTCGGTAGAACCCACTTTGTTTAGCACGGAATCTTTTGTTGATTTTTCTTCGAAACAGCACTTATCCTGTAAAGAATCGTTACATTTTGCCATTTTATTAATGTGACTATTTTTTTCCTGTGTAGATCTACTAAATTTTGCTGATATTTCCTCCGTGTGACTCATTTTATCTTTCACTTCCTTTTGCAGTTTTTCATTAGAATTATATTTGTTGGGAGTGTGATCTTTACTTTTATCCGTACTTTTATCAATAGACTGGTCTCCACCTTTTGATAACGCTTTATCGTTTGATTTAACTTTTTGTTTATCGTCTTTGTCTTTAATCGATTTTTCACTAGAACTGCCTTTATCCTGAATATATTCTTTTCCTTTTACTGCATTTTCAGAGCTTCCAGATTTATCTAAAATATTTTGCTTGCTTTTTACATTAGACGTTTTATCAGCAGCAACTGGACGATCCTGATCGTTACACTTACCTTTCTTTTTGTCAACAGTAATTCTTTTATCCATATTTTCCTCACTTTTTAAATTCGACAATTTTTCACCCTTTTTATCTTTCGTTTCAATTTTTTTCTGTGAATCATTTTTATCGTCTTTTTCGGATTTGTTACTCTTCTCAAGTAAAGAATCCTTACTTTTTACGTTTCCTGGATCCGATTTTTCTTTCGAAATGGGCGATTTTTCGGCGGAACCCATTTTATTTCGCACGTCTTCCTTTATTTTCACATTGGACATTTTGTTACCTTTTTCCTCCATAATATTCTTGCTTTTTTCATCTGAAAATTTAGCGATAGCAACCTTTTCCTGTACGCTACCTTTGTCTTTCGACATTGAACTTTTATCGCTGTTATCTATTTTATTCTGTACAATGTCTTTACTTTTTAATGTTGACATTTTGGTACCACTACTCTCCACATCCTGCGTATTCATTTTCCCCTTTAATCTCTTTTTGTCGTTAGGTGGATCTTTATCGTTTAAATTATCTTTATTTTTCGACGTAGTTTTATTGTTGTTACATAAAGATTCCTTTATATTATCCTTACTCATCGAGTTAGTTAAGTTGTCCAAGCGACTGCCTTTATCCTTTAAGTTATCCTTTCTTTTCGCTACAGATGTTTTATCGCTTTTCTCCTCTTTATCCTTATTTATTCTAGCAGATGTTTTCTCTGTCGTGTCGACTTTATCATTTGAATTATCTTTATTTCTAACGGGAGAAACTTTTTCACTACCAAAATTTTTACTTTGATCACCAACTTTCGTAGTTATATTATTATGAACGGCGTTACTATTTATAGACGTTTGATCGTCGTTAGTGCCTGCTTTATCCTTCTCGTTATCTTTACTTTTAGAGGCTGTCACTTTGTTTGATAAAGGAGACTTATCAGCCGAAGAAAATTTGCTTCTTGCAATCGAAACTTTATCCAAAGGAATAGATTTATCCGGCATTTTTGCAGGATTTTTATTCGTGATTTTTTCTAAAGTAGATATCCTATCGCTAATATTATTTTTGACTTGTATACTGCCGCCTTTTACACTAGAAAGCGTACTCTTTTCTTCGCTAGAGTTCTTAGTTTTTACTTTCGTTTTATCACACGCTTCGGTCTTCTCTACAACATTATCCTTGTTCTTAACAATAAATGCTTTATCAATAGGATTTGTTTTATTTTTCATCTCATCCTTTCCTTTTATATCCGACACTCGACCGTTGGTATCGATTTTATCGCACGCATTCTCTTTCAGTTTTACACTAGTACTTTTATCCTTGTCTAACTTTCTTTCCTGGCTATTTATGCCAGCGGGTGATTTAATAATCGAATTATCACTGACTCCATCTTGAAGTGACGAATGTTTAATCTTACTACTACCCGTTTTAACATCTTTTTCACCAACCGCATCACCAGTGCAGCTCTTATCGTCTTTAACGTTCTTCCTCGAAACTTCCGAATTAATTTTAGTTCCCTTGCAAGAATTGCTTTCGTTGTTAACTGTTTCGTTTCTAGCGATGCTAGTCCTGATACTTGAGCAATTACCACCGGCAACTTTATCAGATAAGTTGTCTTCCTGGTTTTTTCCCGTCGATTCCTTATTCTTAGAAACGGAGTTTATACTATTAGATGTGGAAGATTTCTTAACATTAGGAGAATGTAAACTTTTATCTTTCGTTTTAGAAACCGTATCCGTTTGTTTAACATTCGACACATCCTTCCTGTTCACCACATTAGCGTTAACAACAATATCTCTTTCGATTTTCACCTCCTTTGTACTGTCGTTACGTAAACGTTTCGAAGCATCCGCTTGGTTTCCACTTTGATTTTCCTCCCTGCGAACTTTTGAAGAGTCCTGAATGTGACTAACTCCTTTAGCTATTTCTAGACGCGTCGACTGCGATATTTCCGAATTTTTCGAGGTGAAAACGCAAGTAGGAATAAGATCTACACCCTTTCTAACCGAACGTTCTACTATAGCCATATTTTGAGGATTCACCTCGGACTTTTGATTCCAACCGGCAAGAAAACTTTCTCCATGGGAAAATTTACTTATCTGTGCTTTGACTCCTGTTTGTCTGTACTCCGCGGAAGGATTGATGTGTACACATACCCCGACACCTTCCTTACGGGATTCTCCTTTTCTATGTTTGGTGTCGGGAGTCGAGGAGATAACTTTCTCCAGTTCGGAACTCTTAACAGTTATTGTTTACAGAGGCACTCGAATGTTAAATTTATGTTCCTTCTCTGCTCCTGTTTTTTAAAGGATTTTGTATATATTATACAACGATTCCAACTGTCCGTATTTTATAATAATCAGTCACTGAACCGGCGAAGTATTCACAACACGGTTACTCGGCATACTACACTACGCAGCGTACGAGTTAAAAAGCGGTTAGAAATGACTGGCAAGAAAAACAGCTACATACTGACGTCACAACGATGCTCTGTTAAAGCAGCTGAGAACATAAATGACTGCCAACCGTATTAGACTAGCCATTTAAGGCGAGCGGTTGGGCCAAGACGAACACATGCTACAACAAAGATATCTTTCCGTCTGTTGACCACGTTAGAAGAGATTACAGAAATTGAAGATAAACTCTGACCTGCCCTCGGGTCAAGTGTAATATCTGGAACATGTTAAAATGCTTAATACATTTTTTTTAATATAAATTCATTATACAGGTTATCTATCTAATAGTGATATAAAACAGTAACGATTTGTTCTTCAACTAAATAAAGAAAGAAATAAAATTGATTTTATTGCTCCTGTGTATATATAAGAAATATATTATAATTAATTTTTAATTGCTTTTTTTTTTAACTGATAAATTCTTTAATTATATTTCTAAAATAATTTCGATAAATGTTTTTAAACAAGTATTACACTCAGCTGAGTAATTGAATCAAATTATAATTATATACATAATAAATGTGAAAATTCAATTATATATGTAATTAAATTCTCGTATCTACTTACTATATTTATATTATGAATTATATAAGAATTCAATTATACATAAATGATTGAATTCTTATATTTAATTACAAGACAAAAAATTCAAAAAAAATTCAGAGATTAGGATCTGGAAGGAAACTTTAAGTGGAAAAAAAATATCCTAATGGTCACATGAAGTTAAAAATACACAAAAAATCAGTAAAACATAAAAACCATTTAGAAATTTATCCTTTAATAAAAGGAACATTTTCAAATATTTGTCATTGTTTTTGATATATTCTAAACTTCAATTTTTGCAATATATTCTACAATAATTTAACTTTATATTCTTAAATTATAAATTAGATTCATCTGATTCATTAAAAATATATCAATGTTACATAATAATTAAACTTTTACCAGTATTTTTTTATGATAAATTTTTGATAAAAGCAAAATGATTCTAATTGTATTAGTAATGAATGTATTATAAAAAGTATTTGTTATATAATTTGAGTAACATACACAATTTTATCATATTCCATCTATACTGTATAATCTAGTATATAAACTTAAAAACTTAACTATAAATTTTAATTATAAATGAAATTTGTTATGATAATTTTACAATTACATCTTGGTAAAAATCTAGGATGAATAAACAATTAAAAGTTTTTTTTTAAATTGTAATTTGTCCTGGATTTTCACCTGGAAATTCATTCTAAAAGGATATACAACTAAAAGAACTTTTAATTATATATTCTTCCTGGATTTTTTTTTTACCAAAAATATACTTTTACATTGTACCATTGCAACAGGTATGATTTTAACAATTTTTTCATATTGAGGTGAAGTGCCTCAAAATAAAGGTCAAATACACTGTATGACTTTGTGGTGTTCTAAAAAGTGTAGAAAAAGAACAAGTCTTATATTTTATTCTTTTAGAATATTTTTTCAGTATTTAAATTATAATTGCTTATTTTTATAATTAAATTTTTTTTATTAATTATTCATGAGTATTCTTTAGATTAGATTCTTAATTAATTAAATACAGTACTTTGAATATAAAGATTTATAATTTTTAAAATTAACTGTATTTTTTATAAAGTTTGCAAAATATTGGCTTTTTAAAAACATATAAATGCCATTTATGTAAAGTTATTTTTGCCAATTTCATTATAAGTTATGATTACTTGTTTGTTGGGTCTATTTATTTTCAAATTTCACATTTATCTTTTGCATTATTATAAATAAATAAATTTATATTTTTAAAGAAAATCATATTTTAAATATGTAAAATAAATCGGTTTTAATTATACAGCTGTCCCTTGATAATCCGACAGGTATGGGACCAAAAGGGTGTCAGATTACCAAAAGTGTCCGGATTACCAAAAGTGATTACATATTTGGCATTGTTTTGCTAGTAGTATCCTACAATATTTCTACAATAATCCCTACTCCAACTGTTCAAACAGAACTGCTCACGGAAAACACACGAAATGTGTGTCATCGTGTAAGAATTGGGTGGGGAGATTCACGTCGCGACATGCTTCTGTGCAAGCAGACACGTAACAGGGACAGGTACCTTGACGGGGGGTGCATCGGACTGCTGAGCATGTCGGATTACAAAATGTCGGACTATCAAGGGACAGCTGTAATGCCAAATTTTCAAATGTCAAGACTAACTGAAAACCAAAAATAAAGTGAATTCCTGTCAACTTTTAATAATTCTAGATGTGTGATTACAACATAATAAATAATATAATAGAAATATCTTACTTCCTCAAGCAATAAATATGTAATTTATAAAATACTAAAAGTCAAATATAATTTAAATATTAAAAAGTTAATGAATTATTTATCATGAAAATATTATTATTAGTTATCTAATGTTTTAAAATAATATAGTTTAATGAAAATATTTATATACCACTTTGTAATAACAACAATATTACTCTATACAGAATAATCTTAACTTCAGCTGAACATTGAAAATCTAACTGACAAAATTAAAAATACTGTACTTTATTGAGGTATACATATTTTAATGAAGTATTGATATTTACAAATATGTCAGAATCTCTATGGTAACTGAAAAATATTAAGAGAAAATTTTCTTATTACATATTTTAAAATTTATATTTTAAAAATTCAAAAACTTTATATAATTTTAAAATTATTATAAAGTATTTATAAGTAGAGTTAAAAATTTTAAAAAGAATAAGACAAAACTATTATATCATATTTATGAATTAGTGAGTTATTAATAGTAATTTCAAACTATTGTGATATTACAAGAAAAATTTTCTTTTTTTATAGTTTTAGCCAAATATATGAAGTTAAAAAAGCAATAACATACTAAGTTAACTCCATATGATTCAAATAAACATGGTACAGTACACAGTTCAAAGAGTGGAACTTAACCTTCTTAATTTCTGGAACTGAAACTCAGAAGTTTAATAAGTGCTATATTAATGACATTGAAATTTATCTCTTTTTTTTCTTGATTTAATGTGATTTATTATAAATTTTAACTATAAACTATATTGTAATTCAGTCTTAGAATTACAGGATGTACAAAAAGTTCCTTTACTCAATCTTTCAGCCTTTTATTATTAATTAAACATGACCTGCATACAAAATGTAAATGAACAAAGCATGTGTACAAACTATCAACTATACTCAGAAATTTTAAGATGATGCTGAAAGTGTCCACCTTCCATTTAAAGGCAGATCTCCACTTGACAACATATATTCCTACTCACACATCATAATATTATTGTCTATATATCTGCTATGCTTGTTGCACTTTGGGTCATCCAAACTGGAAAATTTATTTACATATAAAAAGAAATTTGGCAAAGTTAAATCCGATGATTGAAACGTCGAGAAATGCAAAAAACTTTGGGGGTAATTTCTGTATGTATGGATGTTAGTGTGTGGGGCACAATTTTGTTCACCCTCTTTGAAGTTTAATAACTCCTGTACTTTTTGTCAAAAATTTCTGAAATTTTGCATAGAGATTTGTTTATTAGAGGGATTGATGCTTTAAATTTTGGCAGTTAAAGGTCAAAGAGGAGGAGATAATGGGATTCTGTGTATCTCCAGTACAACCTGACTTAATCACAATTTTACTCATTATTAGCATTTACAATTTTTTATAAAGTTAATCCCTTTAAGTTTTTTGCCATTTTATAATATTTAAAAATATAAATAGTTTTTTTAAATAAAATATAACAACAGATGGCACCACTAAAATTTTAAATGTGCCCAAGAAAGTTGAGCAACTCATTGCTCATTTATTTTATTTGTCTTAGTTATCTCTCTGGCAAAGAGACTTATAAATCTTGAGTCACTTTTTTAACTTAAAAACCTGAAAAATTACTAAATAAGTAACAAGGGCCATAATCATACTGATTATATTTTTTCTGTATAAATTCTTTAAAAAAGAACTTACACAAAATTCTATTTTTGATTTTTATGACTAAAGTTTATTTCAATTAATTTATTTTTGTGAATATAGAATTGTGTGTAAGAAATATATTTGTTTTTTAATCTCTGGTACAAGATTTTGGATTGAGAATTATTGGTTTATCCTATTTCTTTTCAACTGTAATTAAAAATTTTATATTTTTATGATAAAAACATTTTTTTTTCCATATTTTTCATTTTTTTTATTAATTTAAGCTAAATTCCAAATAAATCAGTAGGAAATTATTGCTGTGTGAATTTTTTAAAATAAACATCTGAATAGAACTGTAAATCTGAAAGACATATTTTCATTATTGAATTATCTGAATTAATGATTAATATATAATTTTATTTTTATAAAATTATATATTTATTATCTATTTCTTATTCTACATCTAATGAACATTTATTTAGTCCAAAAATTAAGGACTAGATTTGTGAGTGACTTAATCATTAATTCAGATAATTCAATAATGAGAATATGTCCTTCAGATTTACAGTTCTATTCAGATGTTTATTTTAAAAAATTTACACAGCAATAATTTTCTACTGATTTATTTGGAATTTAGCTTAAATTAATAAAAAAAATAAAAAATATAGAAAAAAAATGTTTTTATCATAAAAATATAAACTTTTTTATACAAATTATTTCCACAAATAACTTATTTGATTAAATTCAGCAATTTTGATAAAATTCTTTCATTTCCTAAGTTTACCACAAGACAGACTTTTATCATTGTACTCGTGTGTACTTCATGCCACACATTTTCAATACATACATACACTCCTCCTGTCCTCAAAAATATATTAATTAGACACTATTTACTTTTTAAATTTTAGAACAATTAAACAATTTAAAAAGTAAGTAATGTGCAATTGTATATTTCTGTGGATTGTAGACTAAGGTAAAATATGTTTTTAT